GAAGCTGGAAAACATTGGAAGTGGTTCAGGATCAGTTTGGCCATCTGCCCCGCTCATGGCAAAGGCCACATTAAGAATATGTCTGAGCAAAAGGTCTGCCGCGGATTGGAACGTGGCCTCGGTGCAGATGGCCACGTGTGTATACAGGGCCGTCCCTCCCTACAAGCCGATCATGCAGACTGCGTGGGGCCTCACCGTGCGGAGGGGGCAAGACTTCACAATTCGTTTCAGGGTTAGTGAGTAACCCAGTTTTAGTACTCTGCATCAAAACATCATGAATTCTTTAAGTCACCTGGCTAGGTAATTATTTCTCTGGCATGGGAAAAATGTTGACCTTCAGCGCTTTTGAATACATTCGATACGGACGGAAAATCAATTTAGTTTAGTTATCATGAGGCCTGCTGAAAACAGCTTTATCCAGCCGGAGAACATAACCTTGATGCTGTAACCGGGGAAATAAGCCTGGACTTCACGAGATTCAAACAGAAAGACTGAATGTAAAGACTTAAAATCATATGGTTTAGGACAGGGGTGTCAAACTCAAGGCCCGGGGGCCAAATCCGGCCTGTGACTTCATTTTCTGTGGCCCCACAAGAGCTTGCAAAGAATATAATACGTTTATTATACGGTTACGTGCCGATGTACAGAAGCACGTTGCCCATAAACTACATGTCCCACAATGCATCTCAAATATGCCTTTTTTCTCCGAATTTTGCTGTTTTTTCTTCAAAAAATTCGTTTTTCTCAGAATTGTTATTTTTTTTCAAAATGTTACTTTTTTTTCAAAATGTCACTTCTTTTTTTTGATTTTGACTTTTTTCTCAGAATTTGGCTTTTCTTTTTAAACCATTTTGTGACATTCTCACTGAAGAGACTTGCAATTATTTGCCCTAGACTTCTGCTTTCAGACCTAGTTAATTATGAAGTTATTACCCTATCTGATAATAATCCAATGCAGAGGCAATAATGTAATATAATACATTATTTTATATATATTAAATATTTATATATGTATTCTTTTATAGTCTTAAAGTTACAACCGGCCCTTTGAGTGCAACCATAATGCTGATGTGGCCCTCGATGAAATTGAGTTTGACACCCCTTGTACAGTAGGTGCCATAATGCTGATGTGGCCCTCGATGAAATTGAGTTTGACACCCCTTGTACAGTAGGTGCCATAATGCTGATGTGGCCCTCGATGAAATTGAGTTTGACACCCCTGGTTTAGGAGGTATGGGTGTTCTTATGGAAAACGCTATTAAAATGCACAACAGGAAATGAAGGACCCATCCATCAGTTCAACTATCCGTCTCTTGGGAGTGAAAAACTTTAAAACAAAATATGTGTTTATAATAATTTCCCATTCATTGATTACCGTCTCTTCCATTTTTGTAGTCATGTCATGTATATAGACTCCCGAGTGTGTCCCTGTGTTTTGAACAATCTTTATAATGACTCAGTTCATTGATTTGATGTGCAATGTTACACTTTACATTCATTTGTGATGTGTCAATCACATTTTCTATCAATACAATTATTATTAATGTCATGTAAATCTTAAAATGAGGCATCCGCTTTAAAAACAACCCAAATGTGTTTTACTTTCATGCCAGCAGTAGTAGGAAACTCATTTTGCTCTGCTCATTTAAATCTCCCTGGGAGGTATATTCAACATGATAACGTGAGGTTTAATGATCTGCTTTAAAACTGGAGACATTTAATTCACCTCTCGAGGTAAATATTTTTCCAAATGTAATCAGGCATCGGCCTCCAGAAGAAGATTAGCTTCTGGATTTCATGAACATGGGAGTAATGTTCTCCTGCATGCTTGGACCCGGACGCTATCAAAATGCTAATGAAGGCCTTCGTACTCTGAAAACCCAGCGGCCATGAGTTACTGTGCAGAATCAGGGACGCATGTATGCACAGTATACCCCCCCCCACACACACACACACACACATACTAATTAACTTGTCATAACCTGCACCGAGGGAACAATCATGAGAGTGACAGAATAGATTTTTCTCTTCGCCTGGACGCTGAATTCGTCTGCTAAGTGAGGGTAGTTTTCTCTGGCTGTCATATTTCAATTTGTTTGATCATCCTGGTGTCGAAGCAGCTCCTGATCTGGAAGCAGAGCTCACGCACACACATGTAAATTGTAAGGATACATTATCACTGAATAATTATGTGAGGTATACGAACAGTGGGAGGATTTCACTATTGGTGGGAGATTGGGATTCAAGTTAGAGCCAGTAGAGATGAAATACTTGATACTAAATTGTAAATACTTCTTGTAAGAGTTTTACATTTTATCAGCGAATTTGATGACCATTGTTATTACACCAGACGTGGCAAAAAAGACGACATTCACCTTTACACATGTTGCAATGTGTTGCGTACTGAATAAATGTAATATTATAGTTATTATCTAAACTACCTTGATGTTGCAGCTGGTAAAAGTGGAGATACATTGGTTTAATGTAATTAATTGACCCATATTAATACTGTTTATCATAGTTTATTTCGTGCCTTACATTTTGTATTAATAATCTGAATCTGTAAATGTAGTCAAATAAATGTAGGAAAGAAAAACGTACATATTGACATATTTGTAATGCAATGTAAAGTAACATGTATACAGGAAAGAGTATTGCCTAGCATCACATGGATAATACATAAGTTAAGTACAAGTACCTCCACACTTAAGTAGAGTACTTGAGTAAAAGTTACTTCCCACTGGTTCTGGTCCGTAAAGGCTTGAGTAATGAAAATATTTGGCTTTATCCTCTTCATGTCGCTCCAGGTCAGAATACTCCATTTTTGTAAACCTAGCCATTTTTTGCCAACACAGAACTTTGTCCTCTAATCCGTTCAAATATTTAAAGTTTGCAGTTGCCTGACACACTGTAGGAGTGTTCCCTGAAAAATTGATATTGCTTTTATTCACTCTGTTGCACACTGTCACCCAACAGTGCTTCCTACAAATAGGAACCATAACTTTAATTTTTTTCCAGCAGGAGGAAAAGAAGTCTCATCTGCTGCCAGGCTCAAACAGATGACGGTCTCCAAAGCTTATGCCAAGAATCCATGATACATCCTCCAGAGCGCTCACATAATATGGTGACGCGAGAAACCGGTTACTGCGACAAACTTGGACTGAAATACTGGGTGAATTTCTGACTTCCTGACTTGGATAAAACCTGCATATTATCAGCCATGCAGGTAGGAATTAGAAAATACGTTAGCGAGTTGCATATGGGTAGAAATGTCACTTCATTTCAAAAGTAAAGGAGCTGTGTGTAAAAGTATACTGGAGCCAGTTGTGCAATTAAATCAAAGCTGCAGATGCACACAAACAAGCTTCAACATAACACTGTTTCTTGGCTGCATGAATAGTTATTTAAAGGGAATGAAAACAGTATGGAAATCTGAAGAGCCTTTTGCCTGTTTTGGTTGCATCTGTGTGGGAAGAGTTTATGTAGCGAAACACTGAATCACCATGGGTCTCCAAGGTGCCTTATATTCTGCCTGTGTGCATGAGTGAAATCTAACCATTGATCCCCTCTGGTAATCCATCCAGCAAATACTTAAGCTTCGAATATTCAAAAGCTGCTCAAAATGCAGTAAACATGTGATAGTTTAAAAAAAAGGAACAGCTTCTGACTAAGGAAATTACATGTTTAAAGAGGCCCTGTTATGCTTTTTGAAGTTGTCCCTTTCCTGTAGTGTGATTTGTAGGTTTGTGTGCATGTAAATGGTCTGCAAAGGCTCAAATCCCAAAGTCTCTCCAACACATTGTACGTGATTTGCCATGGGGAGGGACATTTCTGACACATCTCTAAGCGGTTGACCAATCACAACAGAGACAGCCAGCTAACCAATCAGAGCAGACTGGGGGTGTTTCTCAATGTCGAGGACAATTCCTTGGTAGAAACGAAGAATTGTGGAACAGGCTAACAGGTGTGCGTCATATGTGAGGCACCGCCTTAAATGGAGTGCGATTTCCGCCAAAGATTTGGAAATTGGTCCGTGCGCAAAGCATTGTGGGGATTTTAAGTCTACACATGTGCAGCCTCGAAATTTCTCGCTACGAAGTACGCCGGCCTCGGTAGAATTCCAAGTATGCTGGACATTGGAACAGTCCTTCGGCGGCACTCGATGACGTAGCATGCTTGAAATAGTGGCTCTGGAGCAGCCTTCCTCGACATTGAGAAACACCCTGGGCTCTGGTTTCAGACAGAGGGTGAAAAAAGGGGCTGCAGCACAGGCAGTATGAGGAAATGGCATCAACAATTTGGTTTTATCATTAGTATTCCTCAAATGGAATACATTATTGTAAGGGTCATTTGTTTGGGAGCTTTCAGCTTTTCAAAAATGCAATGTACTCCTCAAAAACAACAGCACATTTTAAATTTAGATTAATATGCAAAACTGTTATCAAGAATAAGCTACTACGCATACTTAAGTCATAAGCAGAACGGCAGCGTAAAACCTTTTGCAAACGCTGTAAAATGAGCAATGTTGGAGTCATGATGGTGTCCACACTTTGTCATTGATGCACTCTGAATAAAAAGCCATTCTGTGGTCATTAAAGAGAAGAAGGCATCATTAGCGGTGGCAGGTTGTGGCAGAGCGCTGCATGATGAGTGTGCAGCCTGCCACCCCGCCTGTGAGCCATAGAGCTGTTTCTCTGCAGTAAAGCCAGCTGCAATTGGTCCCTGGAGAGAGCTAATTACCTCCTTGACACCATATCAATAAATATTTGAGGAGAAAAGAGGTTCCCAGGGGTAAACAAAGAGAGCCTGCTTCCTTCAACCATGAAATATGGGAGAAATAAAGCTGCAAGGAAAGCGGTTTTTTAGAATCTCTTAGTGGAGATAAAGAAAATGATGTGTGTTTTTCAGGCAGTAAATGTCATGCATCCTGGACAATTTGACGTTTGTGGTAAAGGTGAAAAGATCGATAATGGACGGAATAAAACAAAGAGTCCTTGTGATTCAGATTCAGAGCGTTTTTCTTTAATAGTTCACCAAAAACAGCTGCTGCTTGCGTCGCCATTCGACCCGACACAAACAGGAAACTACGACAGGAACTTCACGGCATTTTTACAAACACACAGGCACAGACATGACAAGCCTCCTTTCGTTTTTCTAAGCTTCTCTAGGTGTCACTCTTCTTCAGAAATGTTGTACAGGGCAACTTTGGACATAAGAGGGAAAATAAATATTACAGAAGACACGAAGGAGATTCAGAGGCCGGTTATATTCTCTCAAATCACAGAAAAAAAGGATGATTTATGACAGGAGCTGACCTTAAAGTGAAAGACCAAGCAGTTAAGAATATTCTATCTTATCCTAAGTGATCTTTTATGGGAGAATGTTTAATATAACAATGAAAAAGACGGAAAGCAATAACCGTAACAGTCTTGTACATCCTTGTTTTTTGGCAAGACAGCATTTTACAGTGTTTGATGGGATTTGACCACCTTCAGATCAATAATCTCATATATCTGCAGGGTACAGACACAGAAAGGGTGAAAAAAGGTGCAAACGAGGTGCATTTGCCCCCCCCCCCCCCCCCCCCCCCTCCATCACGTGATTCGTGATGGATTGGCAGAGGGAAAGGACTGAAGACAGGTTCATTTATCAGGAATGGAGTGAACTTGTTCGTACCTTTGGGTTTGAATTTCCAGCGAGAAATCTCTTATTCAACCAGATATTTAGGCCCTACATTCCTATTTAAATTAGGACCTTCATTTCCCTCTCTCATTTTGAGTTAAATTATGTTAATTTGATTTTTGCAGAATATCAGTTGCATTTATGCCATGACGGTGATCTGTGCCCCCTGTGGAAGCGGGGTCTCGTCATCTTTTCTCCCAGCAAACACATCCGTTGGGGTCACAGAGACCAATTGGAAAAATGGCTGCGAGTAAAAGAACATGGGACATATAGAAGAATGTTGTGGTGAAAGCTGCAATCCAATTCTGTATCAATTGAGGTTAAACAGGACCTCTGGATATTCTCTTCTTTCTTTTTTTACCATTTTGATTCACTTAAAATAAAGAGTTTGTTGAAACAGAGTGGAAGGGGAGAAGCAGCCAAACATAAAAAGATGTTTCTTTAAATGGTTCATTACTGATTCATAAAGCATTGAGTAATCATTTAATATAACCTTCTTTAAAGATCTCATAAAAAGTCTTCATGCTGCTTTTATATTTTAACTGGGATTTCCTTCATCTTAGAGTTATCTGGGGCCAAGGCAGACGACCACTTATACCTCAAGTGCTGAGAATGAGCACGTTTCCGCAGAGTGTTCAGAGCTACAAATATTTCAGCTAAGCAGCGCCGCACTTCTCAAAAAACACAACGTCCAGTATCGTCCCATAGCAACAGCAGAACATGTCCCGCATGACCCATAAGTTAACTCTCAGTGCATCTGCAAAACAAATATTTGCTCTATTGTAGCCCGAACATCATAACAGAAAACATTTCTCCAGGAAGCCTTGAGCTACTAAAATAACTGAAGTGTGTTTTGATTTAATCCAACAGAGTCTGATTTAAAAGTCCAAAATCTTTCGTTGGTGAAGGAAGTTAAATTATGCTAGTATGAAACCAAAATAAATTCAAATCAAAAACAGATTTGGCTTATTTTTTTTTTAAGAAAAACATCTCTTTTCTTTTGAGTACAATAAACCGTCAGACTTTGGTTCTAGATGGTCAGAAAGGAAATCAACAAAACATAATACAAATGATAAAAAATCAGTTTAAACGACAAATATCTTTCTTTTTTTAACATTCAGTCATCCATAGCTTTGATAAATAAACAAAGGAATTTATTTAAACAGGTGGATGATCATTATATATATACACATCATTTTGGTAAATAACATTTTTTTATATACTAAATACCAAAATATCAAACACTGTCCGTCCTTGTTTTGTGTCACTGGTGTGTCACGCCATCTCTTAGTGCCCTGAAGTGTTCTGAATAATCAGTTTCTTTTAGAGCAAACACACACACCTCTTAATCTCAAACCTTAACCATGGCAACAAAAGAAAGGTTATCAGAAACAAAGATATTACAATCATTCTGTACATGGCCATGCTGCAATACAAAAGAGTTCACCCTGTTTGTGTGTACTGTACACTCCATTGCTTTAACGATACAGTAAACAGACAAATTGCTTGCCTCAACATATAAAAGTGGAAAAAAAGACAGAAGCATCCATCTCTGCGGACGCGAGAGATATTCAAAAGCGGATAAATCGATACAGCCGTTATTAACTGGAACCCTGCAGCGCACGCCCACTCCTGACCCATTACTCTCAAACACACACACACACACACACTTGAGCCCGTATCCAACCGTTTTTTTTAATTAGGGAGGTATTAGGATGAAGGGAGGGCATGGTGTGTGGGCTGTGGTCGGGTCTTTAAAAGGACGAGGGTCTGCAGGTCAGGGTGAAGAGTAGATGGAGAGTTCGATGAAAGCAACCGTGGGAAAACAAAGGTTACTGCAGAAAGAAGGGAAAACTACAAACAAGACTGTTGCCTGCAATGTCTATTTTTCCATTATATTTATCCAAAGAAGCAGTTTGGCATTTTTGGCGTTCAATGTTCTTAGTTAACCGTCGTTCAGAATGCAAACAGATATAGTTTCCGAAATGTCAAATTAGTTCATTTTTTGATCCCGTCATTCAGTTCTAAACACAGCATTTTGAGACATTTCATGGTAGCATTCTACTTGAAAAGGAAACACAACATTTCGCCAACATTTTCATAACCAATTAATGAATTATTACAATCGCAAGCCAAAGTGACGTCTTCACATTTGGTTTAAACCAGCAGTCCAAATCCCAATGAGATAAGATTTACAAAAATATCAACAGGAAATAAAGAAAATCAACAAAAACTTTTTTTGCTCAACACTAAATCATCAACTGTTTCAGCAACCTCTTAAGACTTAATAAAGAAACTTCCCTGTAACATGACAGCATGAATGAACAATGCAATCCTTGTTTAGTCCTTTTTTTGACAATCCTTTCTCAAACTGCATAACAGCAACAGTTGATTCTGAACAGGAACAGATTGTATGAAAGTGGGGGGGGGAAAAAGTGTTTTCATTTTGAGTTTCCCAGACTGCACAGTTCATTCCTGCAGCATCAGAAAAACGGCGAGCAGCCAAGTCCGAACTCTTTGTACTGCAGCACCAGCTGGAGAGACGCCGCCTGGAACCGACACTCAGCGAAACAACACTATGATAACTGATGCACTTCTACAAACCACAGAATAAACAGGCAATCCAACGGCTGGAGTCTGAGTGCCACATCGGCCCCGCGCCAAAAAACAAATCAGCTGGCCAAAAAACATTTCTGGAGTAAATCCCAAAGCGTTCGTTCAAAGGAAATGGAAGGGCAGTAAAAGGACGGGAGAGCAAAGTGAATGTTTGTTTCTGTGTCCTTTTTCATTTCAGTCTCCCAAATGAAAAAACAGGTCACAATGGCAGACCGTTAGTGGATCTCCTCCCTGCCTTCTTCTTCATCACTTTCTCTCTTTGTATTTTCCGCCCATGATATGAGTTTCCCCTCAGCAGAGTCCCATTCTGAGGAGAGGCCGGGCCGGTGGGGGGAATCCAGGGAGGGGGGGGGGGGGGGTCCGCGGCAGTCCGAGCATCCTCCCCCGTCGCTCTCAGCCGCAGGAGATGACCGTGAAGCGTTTGGAGATGCAGGACATGTTGTGCAGCACGATGCCCAGGAGGAAGAGCAGCACGCAGGCCACCAGGATCACCGTGCACACGCCCGACCACGTGGAGCCCTTCCCCGCTCCCCCCCCCGGGCCGGTGACTCTCCTCTCGCCCTCGCCTCCGTCCAGCCCCATCCCCATCCCCACCGCCTCCAGCCCCATGGCCAGGCCCAGGGGCTGCTGCTCGGGCATGGTCACCACCGTCATCCCCTTCTGCTGGCTGCCGGGCAGGAAGCGGCACCCCAGCTCCCCCGACAGCCCCAGAGCCCGCTCCTTGGCGAGGGGCAGCGGCAGCATGTAGCAGCCGTTGCTCGGGAGGCGGATGAAGACGGGCGTGTGCTCCGAGGCGTGAGGGATGGCGATGACGGTGATGATGTCGGGGTCGTCGGGGAGCTGGGAGACGGACAGGCCCGGGGGGAGCTTGGTGACGCCGCGGCACCAGGGGCATCGGATCTCCTTCTGGCTGCTGCGCATCTGGGTCAGACACACGGAGCAGCACGTGTGCCGGCAGTCCAGGAGCTTGGGCCGCCGGCGGGGGCTGTAGTAGTTAAAGCAGATCTGGCACTCCAGAATGGAATCTTGGGAAAGAGTTTCCATTTTGAAGAATATGGGAAGGTGGTCTCTTGTTGTATAAGCAATTGTTCTAGAGAGGTGTGCACAACAGGTCAAGAGAAAGTCCAGGTGAAGTTAAGAAAGAAAACGGTCAACAAACGTCCACAACTCCACAGTGATGTCACAGCTTTCTGGTGGCAACATAGTCATCCATCTGCAACAGAAGAGAAAGAGAGCATGGTTGAGACACTTCAAGCCAAACATCTTGCAAAAAACACAAATGTTCTGTGGATATATTTTTCTTTCATTAATAGAATTAGTCCTGACGTGCATTTGTTGACATGAGGATGAACTGGGCAACATGTTGGTGAGTAAAGTCACTTGATAGCAGCATTCTTCTTAATATTTAGTTGGCAACACAGAAAGCTATATCCATCTTAGCAAATCTGGACATTATAACGAATTTCACATCTAGTCAGAAATACAAGTTCTGAAAAGGAGGTGTAACAAGTTCAATAAACATTTTTTAAAATCAATCTTCCCAAAAAAATGTCCTCGATCTGAAACCGTAAAACTTTCAAGGACAGCAAAAACAAGTTCTCCAACACTCAAAATTGCATAATACATGTTCAAACTTCAATCTGACAGGGTCGTTCAAAACTAAGTGTGTGCACTTTGCATTTGAAAAGCATCCAGCAAAAATACAAATGCAACACTTGAATTGAAAGAGCTAAAACTTGTTGTTATTGATGCAAAACGTCCAAAACCTTTTTACAACTGAACTGAAACGACCCTTACGGAGCTGCAGCGGTCAGCAATGCATCATGGATGATAGACTCATTATTATGTACAGCACAGCGTACATCTCCGCCGCCAGTTGACTGCTGGAGGGGCGAGTTCACGAGACCCCTGGCCTCCGTATCCGTGGTAAGTACGGTTAATTCTTTTAACGGTCTCCTTCAGGCCACAGACTCCATAAACAATTCCTGCCTCCTCCCACTCCTCTTGCATAATCCCGTGTTAATCCATGCGGAAGTCGTGATCGTTTTCTTTTACAGATGATTAAACACCGTCAAAATAGAAGCGAGGAAACAATGAATACCAAACAGGGTCCTGCCGACATATCGCTTTATTTTTTGCATCCAAATTGTCAAGTGTGAAAACTGCTGAAGAGGGAAGATGAGATTTTTTTTTTCTTTCGCGCTGCCATCGCAACAGAGCCGGTGTCCCTCCGGGGCTCGACTGTGTGGAGACAGGAAGAGTGAAGAGGGGGACAGATGGAGGCTAGAGATGGAGAGAAATAGTGATAGAAATGGAAGAAAGGTGACCAGTGATTGTCTTGCAACACCGTACATCGCAGTCCATTATCAAAGACAAGATCTCAGGCAATTAAAGTCGTCATGGCGCCCTGTGGGGGACACGGACGTGGCAATGACAGATAAGAGTGTGCTCACACCAGACGTGATGGAGCGGTTTATTCAGTCTGGACTCCTTTAGTCTGCTTTGTATCGATGAGACGGCTGATCAAATTCGACCTTGGGCAGTGGTAAATAAATGCAATATGATACTGTAGGTTTGATTGCATTTTATCGAAGTGAAATCCCACATAGAATCCGCTTATCAAAACCTGAATGCTTTGCAAAGCGTTTTATCGATCGACCCATCAAATATCTAGGTCCACAACTTCATTGCAGCAGCTTTAAGGTATCCAAGATGCCCTTGTCCGCAGGCGCGTCCTCCAGCTCTGCCCGGGGGGATTCTGAGGCGTTTTCCGGCCATATGGGATACTCCCTGAGGGTCTGCCCCGAGGTTTTCTCCAGGTTGCCCAGAAAACCTCCTCGGTAGGCGTCCAGCAGGCATCTTGTTTAGAAGCCAACACTTTTCTTTCAGAGGATTTACTAGTTTTGACTACTATGACTAGTTTTAAGAGAGTTTATAGGAATGCATCCCCTCGTTCGCTCGTCTAGATTCTGACCTTGTTAAGTAGTTACGATCAAGTTATCCACGAAAAACTATAACATTGTCATCAAAATGTAGTGTTTCTACAATCAGTGTCAGACTTAGTCATAATTAGTTCAACGTCCAAATAAAGGCTTAAAATGTGTAAAAAATTGCACTTTTATTCAGTTGAGGTATAGGAATCTGTATTGATACAGAAAACACATGGCAACCACCTAGTCTTGCAATGTTTCAATCATTTTGGATGAACTAGAATGTATTAACGAAAAAGTAATTATTAATTTATCCAGTATAAATCGCCAAAAATGTCAAACAAAATATAACCCAGTGTTATTGTAAGTCTCGCTAGGATGCCTCATCAAGGTGTAATATGTGTGTGTCCATTTAGCAGTAAGACAACAGGAAGTGACCTCAGAGTTTCCTTTACAGTCATGTCAAGCGGTCAATGGTAGTCTTCCTCATGTACGTCTCCTTCCTTCTCCCTCAGCAGCACCCCCAGCCCTCCCTCAGGGCCAAACACCGCCTCTCCAGACCCTCTGCCTCCTCAGCCAGCCTTCCCCTGCTGACCTAGTTTCTCCACACTGTTACCGCGTCAAAGTCAATGGGAAAGTGCAGAAAAACCTGGCAGTTTCATGAAGAAGTGAGGAGAGAGGAGCGCACAGGAGAGGGAAGCAGAGACAGGGAGCTGCCCTTGAGGGGGAAGACAGCCCTGGGTATTACTGAATCCTTTTCCCAAAGATAAGGATTAGCTTTGATCTGACATAAATGCTTTGTGGCTCAATATTCCCATACACCCAGTCACTCTTCCCTTCTTCATCCTTCCCTTCTCCTGGATAAGCTTTTCCTCTTCCTCTTCTACACCGGGTGTATGATTTCCCTTTTCCTAACCTCAATTTTCTTTCTTTCCACCCGTACATTTTCAGTGATTTCCTTCATTTCAAGGAGTAAAGTAAAACTGAAGAATACATACAAAAATATATTATCAAATCACAAGAGGCAGCGATTGTTGACGTGAAAAATCCTGACTTCAGAAATAAACTGTATTTTCAACATTTTTCATTCAAAATGAGCAATACGTCTATGAATGACCTCACATCAATGTGTTCAAAACAGGAAACATTATGCAGGAATAGTAGCTGCAGGGCTGCAAATGACAATTTCATTCACTTTATCAGTTATTAATTGACTATTTTATTGATTAATTAATTATTTGATCCACGAAAAGACAAAGAATATCTCACTACTGTTGTTGCCTGCTTACAAGCAGAAACTTAAAAGGGACAGACCGATAACAAGGACAGTACAACGATGGAGCGAGGAGTCAGATTCAGCACTGCAGGATTGCTTTGCATCTACGGATTGGAGTGTGTTTGAGGACAATAACATCAACACACACACGGACACTGTCATCTGCTACATTGGGAAATGCATCGATGACGTGGTACCGAAGGTTTCTGTACGGACATTCCCAAATCAAAAGCCCTGGGTAAACGGTGAGGTGCGCGGCAAACTGAAAGCGCGCACTCTCGCGCACACAGCGGGAGATTTGGAGGAGTACAGGAAGTCTAGGTATGATCTCCGGAGAGCAATAAAAAATGCAAAGAGACAGTACAAAGAGAAGGTGGAATCTGACTTCAAAGGCTGTAACACTAGGAATATGTGGGCGGGACTAAGGACAATGACTGACTACAAAGGAGCAGCGGGGGGTGCTGCGGGAGTGTCTGCGTGCGCATCTCTCCCAGATGAGCTAAATAGTTTTTTTGCACGCTTTGAGAGCAGCCAGGCTGTGGAGGTACAGAGGGACCAGGAGCTACACTGCCCTTTTGTTTTAAATAGGGCAGATGTGTGTAAATCCTTTAAAAGGGTTAACCCACACAAGGCTCCTGGACCTGATGGCATCCCTGGCCGTGTTCTCAGGGTGTGTGCAGTTCAGCTGGCAGAGGTGTTCACAGACATCTTCAACAGGTCCCTGCTGCAGTCTGTAGTCCCCACATGTCTTAAACACTCCACCATCATTCCTGTCCCCAAAAAGACAATCATCACCTGCCCCAACGACTACCGCCCAGTAGCACTCACCTCCATCATAATGAAGTGCTTTGAGCGGTTAGTCAAATTATTCATCACCTCCTCCCTCCCTGAATCTCTGGACCCCCTGCAGTTTGCCTACAGAGCAAACAGGTCCACAGACGACGCCATAGCCCTCACCCTCCACACTGCCCTCTCACACCTGGACCCGAAGAACAGGAACACATATGTGAGAATGCTGTTCATTGACTACAGTTCAGCATTCAACACCATTGTGCCCTCCAAGCTGGCCATCAAGCTCAGAGACCTCGGGCTCAACAGCGCCCTCTGCGACTGGATCCTGAACTTCCTGACGGGCAGACCCCAGGCAGTGCGGGTGGGAAACATCACATCCTCCACCCTGATTCTTAACACCGGTGCCCCTCAAGGCTGCGTGCTCAGCCCTCTCCTCTACTCCCTGTTCACCCACGACTGCGTGGCCACACACAGCTCCAACACCATCGTGAAGTTTGCTGATGACACGACCGTCATCGGCCAGATCACAGACGATGACGAGACGGCATACAGAGAGGAGGTCGAAAACCTGACATCTTGGTGCCAGGAGAACAACCTCCATCTCAACATCAGCAAAACAAAGGAGCTGATTGTGGATTACAGGAAGCAGCAGGGAGAGGGACACGCCCCCATCGCCATCAATGGGACTACGGTGGAGAGAGTCAAAAGCTTCAGGTTCCTTGGGGTCCACATCACTGAGGACCTGACATGGTCTCTTCACACCACCACCATCACCAAGAAAGCTCGACAGCGGCTCTTCTTCCTCCGCAGGCTGAGGAGGTTCAAAATGGATTCCAGGATACTCTGCAACTTCTACAGGTGCACGATAGAGAGTATCCTCACTGGCAGCATGACGGCCTGGTACGGCAGCTGCACCGACCTCGATCGTAAGGCTTTACAGAGGGTGGTGAAAACTGCACAGCACATCACCAGGACGGAGCTGCCATCCATGGAGGACCTTTACTCCCAGCGGCTCAGGAAGAAATCACTACGGATTATCAAAGACCCCCATCACCCCAGCCACAAACTGTTCTTTCTGTTGCCGTCTGGCAGACGTTACCGCAGCATCCGGGCAAGGACAAGAAGATTCGGAGACAGTTTCTTCCCGCGGGCAGTGAGACTGTTAAACAATTGAACTGTTGAAACAACATCAAACATTCAACTGCTACTCAGTAG